CTAAGGAGAGATTACCAATGTTGAGTTACTTGAGGCTATCCACATGGTGAAACAAGTTGTGACTAATCAGGTTGGGCAATAGAGAGGAGCTAGATAAGAAGTTACTTATACATTGAGGTTGTGACATTACTAGAGTATTAATCCTCCAAACTTCACTGGCTCGAGCACTACTAAGTAACTAGAGAACTTTATGGAAGATCTGGAGAATTAATTTGATGTTATGCGTGTTGTTGAAATTTAGCATGTTGAAATGGATACATATCAATTGAAAAGTGTGTCTAGGACTTGGTTTGACTAGTGGAAAGGGGATAGAGTTTAGGATGCACCACATGCGAGTTGGGCTTGTTTTGAGAAAGTTTTCTTGGGGGATTTCATTCCCCGATAATTTACAGAGGTCATGGTACGTGAGTTCCTTATACTTAAGAAAGATTAATTAAGTGTTCATAAATATGGGTTGATATTCACTGAACCCTCATTACGCTCCAGAGATTGTTCCATACATGAGGAGTATGATAAGTTTGTTTGTTGCTAGCTTGTTCCATCCATCGAGCAAAGAAGGTAGGGCATATATGATAATTGGGCGCATGGACATATAAAGGTTTATGGTTTATCTGCATAAGGTTGAGGAAGAGAAATGAAGGGGATAGGGAGGAATTTAGCAATATGAAATCGATGATAAGAACGAGTCTGGGCAGCTGAAAGGTAGTGCGAATCGTCCACCCTTTCAACAATACCAAAAGAGGCATGCTCCATCATCTGCTAGTGCACGTGTACCCTAAATAAAATGTGAATATAAATGTCATAATTCACAACACTTAATCGCTAATTCGACATTATCTAAAAATATTATGTCTTAAGGATGTAGTTTGGCTATTGCATGTGCTAGTAATGGTAGAACTCATCTAGTGTCGTGATGGCCACACATGTTGTTTCAAGTATGAGAAATAGGGCCACTTCATTAAAGAGTTACCTACGAACATGTAGGATAATAAAAATCAAGGGAATAGATACCAATCTTAATCAGTTACACCACTAGATAGGGCTACACGCAGAGGATCTACTTTTGGTATCCGCAAACGAACAAATGTTCTTTATGCTACAGTCGCCAAAAGAAATAGAACACTTCAGATGTTGTCAGTGGTATGATAAATGGATCTAATTTTGATGATTATGGTTATTTAGACCAAGGAGAAAGTTTATCTTTTGTAAATCTTTATGTTGCAAATAGGTTTGATGTTATTCTTTACAAACTCTATGAATCCTTTTGTATTTCAACACCTCTTGGTGAGTCTATTGTAGCTGAGTATGTATATCGTGATTGTGTCATTTCCATCAATTGCAATTACACCATGAATGATTTAATTGAGTTATACATGATATATTTTGATGTTATTCTCGGAATAGAATGACTTTATAGTAGAAAATTAGTTCAATACGTAGTATTAACGGGTTGTTTTAGATCATACCTCAAGTCAAGAAAGTTAGTTTTCAAGGGGTGTGTCTATCACTTATTCCGAGTTAATGATTCTTGAGATACCTCTTTTTCAGCAAGTTCCTGTACTAAAGGAGTTTCAAGAAATCTTTCAATATCATCTGCCAGGAGTCCTCCTTAGTGAGAGATAGACTTTGGCATAAATAATCTTTCAAATACTTATCCTATCTCTTTTCCGACATTTAGAATGGGACTAGCAGAGTTCAAAGAGGTTAAGGAGCAGGTAAATATCTTTTAAATAAGGGCTTTATTCGACCAAATATATCACCTTGGGGAGCTCTAGTCTTATTTGCGAGAAAGAATGATGGTTCCCTTAGAATGTGTATAGATTATTGTTAGTTGAACAAGGTTTCTATCAACAAGTATCCTCTTTCTAGAATTGATGATCTTTTCGATCACCATCAAAGTGCTTCTTGATTTTCCAAGTTTCTCATATTGGGCTACCATCATTTGAAACTAGGGAGTGTGATATTCCCAAGACAACATTCAGGACCTGTTATGGTCATTATGAGATTTTTGTCATATTGTTCGATTTTACTAATGCACCTGTAATGTTTATGGAGCTTATGCTTAGAAAATTAAAACCCTATTTAGATATGTTTATTATCATCCTCATTTATTACATACTAATCTATTAAAGGAAATAAAAATATTATCAAGCCATATTAGAATATTTATTGAGACTATGAAAGATAAAGAGTTTTAAGCTAAGTTCTCAAAGTGCGAGTTTTGACTTGAGTCTATCAGATTCTCGGGTCACATAGTTTCTAGTTATGACATTGTAGTTGTTACCCAAAAGATAGAGGTTGTGCAAATTTGGCCTAGACCTATATATCCAATCGATATTAGGAGTTTCTTGAGATTTTTTAGATATTATAGGAGGTTATTATACGGGTTCTCATCTATTTAGTCCTCTTTGATCAAGTTTACTCAGAAAGAAGTGAAGTTGCAATTGTCTGAATCTTGTGACTAAAGCTTTTAAGTGTAAGGTTGACTACAGCCCGAATGTTGACCTTACTAGAAGTTACGCAAGGCTTTGTGGTGTATTTTGATGCATCTGGAGTTGGTCTGTGTTGCGTAATGATGCAAAACTTCAAGGCTATGGATTATACCTCCAGATAGCTTAAGGTTTATTAGACGAATTACCCAACACATGACTTAGAGTTGGCGGCCATATTATTTTCTTTGATAATATCGTGTCATGATTTAAATGGTGTGCATGTAGATGTGTTCACAGATCACAAGAGCCTTTAATATGTGCTTACTTGGGAAGAGTTGAATCTCAACAAAGGATATGGTTAGAACTACTCAAGAATTATGACATTAGTATTCTTTACCACCCAGATAAGGAAAATGTTATTTTTAATTCTATAAGTAGGTTGTTTATGGATAGTATCGCCCATGTTGAGGAATAAAAGAGAGAGTTATGGAAACATCTTAATAGACTAAAGTGCTTGAGATTCCGGCTAATGGATTCCATAAAAGAAGAATTAGTAGTGATCAATGGGGCTGAATCATTATTAATGTCAGAACGAAAAGTAAGTAGAACCAAGATACCATTTTGCTTGAATTGAAGGAAAATGTTCATAAGCTAGAAGTATTAGCTTTTGAACCATGTGGAGATAGTGTATTGAGATATTAAGGTAGGTTGTGTGTACCAATAGAGGATGGACTCCAACAAAGGATCATTGAGAAAACTCATAGCTACAGATGTTTCATACATAAGATATTTCATTCTTCTAGGTTCCACAAAGATTTATCATTATTTGAAAGAAGTTTATAAGTGGAGTATAATGAAAAAAGGCAGTGAAGATTGTTTAGCCAAGTGTCTGAATTGACAAAAACATAAAGTACAGAATCAAAGACCCATTGGTTTGGCTCAAAATATAGAAATTCAATAATGGAAGTGGTAGATGATTAATATGGATTTCATCACAGGTTTACCAAAGTCTCGCAGGAAACATTATTCAATTTTATTGATTGTGGATCGCATGACATAGTCAACTCACATATTTCCGGTAATGACTCCCTATTTTCTTGAAAATTATGCTAAGATACATTCAACAGATTCTAAAAATTCATGGGGATCCAGTCTCCATTATATCAGATAAAGGTGCACAATTTATTTCACAATTCTAGAAATTTTATGGAAGGGCTTGGGTTCAAAGGTGAACTTATGTACTCTCTTTCATCTTCACACAGATGGGACATCAGAGAGCACTATTAAAACCATAGAGGATACGTTGAGGGTGAATTTCAATGATTCAGAGGTAATTGGGATGATCACCTAACTCTCATCAAGTTTTCTTACAACAATAGTTACCACTCGAGCATCAAAAGGGCTCCTTATGAAACTCTTGATGAAAAAATATGAAAATATTTTATTGGAATTTTTGAAGTTGGAGAATTAGGGTTTAAAGGAAAAATTTTTGTTGATAAAGCTATGGAGTATGTGAAAGTTTTTCAAGAGAGGTTTAAAATAGCGCAGAGTCATTAGAACTATTAAAGTGATTTTAGGAGAAGAAATTTATAGTTTAAAGTAAAGGATTGGGTGTACTTAAAGTTTTATCTATAAAGGGTGTGACAAGATTTTGTAATAAGGGGAAGCTTAGACCCCGGTATATTGGAATTTATGAAATATCCAAGAGGCTTCACAATGTAGCTTATGAGTTGGAGCTACCATAAGAGTTAGTCGTGATTCCTCATGGTTTCACATCTCATTGTTGAAGAATTGAATAGGTGATCCATCATTATCATGCCAACGACATATATTGTGGTTAAGGATAGCACATCCTATGAGGAGATTCTTCTTAAAATTCTAGATCTCCATGTTCGCATGTTGAGAACAAAAAAGTAGAATCAGTCTAAATCCTTTGAAGGAATCAATTTATTAAATAAGTTGCTTTGAAAGTTTATAAGTTTATGAATAAAAGATATCAACATATCTTTGAATCTAGATACGTTTCGCATTAAGGTAGTAATCCTTTTTTCGTGTTTAAGTTGGCATGTTGTTTTGCATTTGATTGTGGGTGCTTGAATTGAATGTTTCATATTACACCCTTATCCTAGTAAGAGTAATCTCATTTGAGGACGAAAATTCCTAATGGGAGATACTGTAAGATCTAGCAAATTGAAATAACTAGGAAGAAGCTAAAAAATTGAAATAGTCATTTTTGGGAAGAATGAAAATCTAGAAACTTTTTTATGTTAGGAAAAGTTGTGATTTTTGTCAACATCAAACGGACGTAAATTCTATCTCAATATGATTTAGGTTTACTTTAAGATATGGTTGGAAATCTCATGGGATAATCTTTTAAACGCTGCTGAATTTTTGCGATTCCGTGTTTGTATGAGTGACTTATGCCCTTTGGAAGTTGGCTTGTAGAAATAAGGAAAGTCCAATCCAGATTTTGAAAGGGTAGTTTTGTCTGTTTCTTACCCTTTTCTTTTGATTCACTATTGTTAATTACTTAAGGGTCTAAAGTGAACTTAGTTTATTCTTTAAGAAAAAGAGTTAAGGTTTTGAGAGATGAAAGAAGAGGTGAACATTCTTGATTAATCAAAATCGTCGCGATAGACTTGTGGATTGAATAGGGGGTGATCCCTACAAGGTATGTGAGATCACATAGCGTTGGGTTTGTTCACGCACGTGCCAATAGTGATTTAATTTCTGCGAAATTATTAGATATGAAATTAAATCCTTGAGTTCTTGATGAAATTCTTCTAAATTCTTGTTTAGTTGTGTCGTTGGAGTTTTCTTTATATTGATTCAAATTTTTAGTTTTTTTTAAGTATAATTTGTTGTGTATTGGGGATATAAATTATTATAAAATTTTTGGGAAGAACCATTGAAGTTTAGGCGGTTTGAATATTAAAAGCAAGCAATAAAAGTTTTCAAACACCCGGGGATAGGGGAGGGGCATCGCGCCGGCCAGTGCACCCCAAAAGGGGATCTGAACGTTAGGCTCAGGAGTATCACGTCAGCCAGAGCACCCCAGCAAGCCCTCTGAACTTTGAGGGTTGGCGCCCCATGCCTTTCACAGTTCCAAGGACACCAGCAAGCCCTCTAAACATTGAGGGCTTGTTTCTTAGTGACGTACCTACTTTTTTGAGTTTATTTCGACACTCTAAGGTACATGTAAACATCATTTAATCATCAATAAACATGATATCATGAACCTTGAATCCATAATACAGTTCAAGAAAAGTTAACATAAAATTTAAGAGAAGTTAAAAAGTTAACTCTAGAAGTTAAGAAGTAAGTTATACATTTTTCAAAAGTCTTTAACAAATGTTTTAACTTTTTAAAGACTTAAGTGTAAACATAATCAAATTGTAACATCTCACAACTAGGAAGAACTAGAAGGAAGTTTAATATCTGAAATAGTTATTTTTCGAAAGTATTTGTGTAAATCTGGAAAATTGTAATCAAGTTAGAGTTGAGTTTTTTGTCAACTTTAATCAGTCAATGCTCCTACATAAGGATGAGTAGGTTTAGTTCTAGATATGGTTGGGGATCTTTTGGAATTATGATTTTAATTTCGTGTGTGCGTGACTCCGAGTTCATATGAGTGAGTTATACTTTTTGGAAGTTGGGCTGTTGGATTAAGGAAATGTCCAATCTTGAATTTTAAGGGGTATTTTAGTCTTTCCATTGCCCTATTATTTTAATCAATTTTCAGGAGTGTAATAACGATATGATCAGATTATAGTCAATTTTAGAATTGTTCTTTCACGCTGCTGATCAGAAGAAAGTTAAGAGAAAAGAATAAGGAGAAACAGGCAAGTTCATCAAGATCAATCAAGAAAGTTAGTGTCTTCGCCAAGGGTTTACTTTTACCATGTATGTAAGGCTCTCATAACGTTGGAATCAATCTCCCACGTGCCAAGCATATGAATTTCAGTTTGGTTCATCTTAAAAGAGTTTGAATATTGACCATCTTGATATCTATTGTTAAATTCATATAATATTCTTGAATTTGACTGAGTTGGGACGTTTTTATGTTTTTTTACGTTGCATTATAGGGTCGTTTCGAGATAGGTTTTGACTTTTTGTCTTTTCTTATGTGTAGCTATCTTTAATCATCCCTAAAAATCATGAAAAATTTCCAAACACAAATCTTAATTGAGGAATCCATAATTCAATTCAAGGTCAGTTAATAGTAGAGTTAATATAAGTTAAGAGTCAATTCAAGATCATTTAAGAGTAAAGTCATGATCATTTAAGATTCAAGTAAAGATAAGTTCTTAAAGTTTTCAAAAAAATTTCACGAACATTTTACGCAAAGATGTTTTTTCTTCAAATAAGTTTATCTGGACTATATATGCCCAATGAAATTTAAACTATTTTCACATTTAAAAAAGAATGGAAACTGGGATTTCCATAGAGTCTTCAGGCTCATTTTTAGAAGAGATTAATAGCTTTATAAATGAAACAAGAAGGGAAACAAATATTTATTGATCTATGTGTTTAATTATTAATCTCAAATCACAAAAGTATATTTTTAAAACATAATAGCTATATATTTTGGGACTAATATTGAGTACCATATTGCGGAAAAACCTGAGTTAACATAACTAACGTCTCCATTCAACCATGTAGCCACCGTGAGTAGAAAAGGATCATACTTTTAGATGAATCTTTTCAAAATAAACTAGTGGATCAACTTAGTAGTTGAACTTCTATTCCTTTGGCCGGTTATAGGATGCGCTAGTAGCATGAGGTAAATCGATGCATCATCACTATAACTCTAATGTGATGGTTGCCAATTATAGAAACTCCCTCAACAGTTATTACATTATATATACATCAGTTGATTGTATTTTGACATACATTTCATAGTTATTTTATATCATTGTTACATAAATAGAGTTTATATTATGTTTTTAAACAACATTTCTTTATATTACACTTGTTTTAAACTTATTTCTATTGAAATGAGCTCATTTAAGTATTCATGATTTGAGAAGATCCAAGGTAATTGTTCAACATTTCAAACTTGCATACTCGTACATTCAATGTACTAATGATAGTTGCCCTGCATCCTCTTATTATGAAGAAACATGTAACTAGTATCGACATTCCAACGCACTGTTGATCTACGGAGCAGTTTAAAGTCATTCGTTGAGTCTCCTTGCATTCCAGAGGATCTATGTTAATTGTTTTCTAGTTATTCTAGTAGGATGTTGTGGGGTTTATCCAACATCCATCTCAGTTTTTATAGAGGCTTCATAGATAGTCGTATATTATTCCTTTGAGTTTTTCTATTATAATTTCTTATTGTAAAGACTTGGGTCGTAACTTTTGGTCAAGTTGAATGTTTAACCTTTAAGCATTCTCAAATATTTTAGTATTTAGCTCAATTAAGTGTTATTGATCTTTATTAATATGTATATATTTTCCTCTTAGTTAATAAGTCATTCCAAGAGTTCGTTCGAAGATAGCAATGGTCTTCGAGCGCAAGTCTTTCATAGGGTGTAGGCTCGGGGTCTGGAAAACATGGTATTAGAGCACAGAGTTCAAGATTCCTAGGGAGTGTATGAAGCAGTGTATTTACAATCCTACTTATCGTTGTGAAGTATGCCACATCAATACTTAGGAATCCCTTTACTTCTTTTATACTTTTTTCATGTGTTAGAGATATCATGCCTGCATGAAGAGCAATCAAAGTTCTTCCAGTTAGGAGGAATGTTGCGGAAAAAGAGTTTCAAAATGCACCTGATGTGAAAATGCATGGAAAAGTTACTAATGTTGAGTTCGTAGAGGTTATTAGGATAACAAGTCAAGATATGACTAACCAGGCTTGGTAGAAAAGAGTAGCAGGACAAGAAGAGGCTAACTCTTTGAAGATTCACGAGTTCTTCAGGATGAATTCCCAAGCTTCACTAGTTCGAGCACTACTGAGGATCCATATAAATTCACTGAGGAACTGAAAAAATTATTCGAGGTGATGCATGTTTCTAATACTTAATGAAGTCAGCTAGCTACAAATCATTTGAAGAATGTTGTTACGACATATTTTGTCCAGCGAAAGAAGGGTAGATCTTAGATGTGCCTGCCTTTACCAACGTAGACCAACACATACTCATAATTGAAACCAATCCTCATGTAGTATCAAAAATGTGAAAGGTCATTATATCCATATCATGTACCATTATAAGCACATACATATACAAGAACATCATCCTATGACTTCCCTCAAGGCTAACTAGTGCAATGTTTAGATAGAGTCTCATACCCCCTACATAGACTACGCTAAACCTCTTAGGTAATCCAAGTTAGAGTTTATTCCATTTGTATATTTTACCTTTTGGGAACATCTTGCCTTAACCTACATAGACCACATAACGTAAAGTGGAATCTGGTGTCATGGAGCATTAAACCGAAGGCAGTCATACTACATGCCAAGGTAGTACAAAAACATGAACATAGCAACTACGTGGATTCACAAGCTAGTATTCCTATGAGAGAAGCATAGTTCAAGAACTAGGTGATATAGCAGGGGATCTCCTTATGCTACATGCATTGGATACCGAATATCAAGAGTACATTAGTAATCCTACTTTCGCTACGTGGGAAGGGACAATCCTCAATCTAGTTCACTCGATTCTAAGCTAGAATCCCTTTTGAAATGTCTTTATTAATCATCATAGCTTAATGTAGGACATATTTTCTATCCCTTATATAAATATAATCATCATAGCTCAGTAAGAATTGCATGAGTGTTCTCTTCCCACTGCAATTTAAATAAGTGATGTTGGCAGATTAACATATTCACGTCCTGATAAGGGACATTGGTAAATCATCACCATCCTTATAACATTTACATCTTAGCAAACACCTCAGAAACCATAGTCAATACATTTCAATTCAACATCAAACCAAACAATCAATCCTAATATAAGACATACCTCAATATAACATCATCACTTAACCACAAGTAACCATAATTAAAGTAAAGAATAGGGATCCCAAGACTTACCAAGTCGCCTTCATAATCCATCATCAAGGATTTACCATCAACCCAATATTTTAACCCAATAAGGGTTTAATATCATCATACAATAATAACAAAAAGAATAAAAAGCCTAATTGAATCACTACATCACAATCCATTACTAGGTCATAGCTTAAGAAAGAAACTTAGGTCAAAGTCATAATCTAGGTTAATTACTTAAGAAATATTATGATACGAATACAATTTAACCTAATATATTCATAATTGATACATATCATCATAAAGTAGTAATTCAACCAACAACCGATTCAACTGAACCAACATTACACAATTTATATCAAGATCATAACCTAGCGTTAAGGAGAATAGGTCATTCTCTACAAACTAGACCAATCCATTAAGAAAAATATAATTAAGTTAAAGTACAAATTAATCTATTAATAATATCCAAAATAAATCATAAACAGAGTAATTCATAACATCATTTTCATATTGGATGAAAAACCTCTTGAAAACGCAACTTTTGAAATCAATTTGATGGAACCCTTTGAGGAAACAAGTCTAAAAGGTGAAAGACATCCCATATCTTACTAATTAATGGATATTTATGGATAAATTCAATGCTTTGCAACCGTTGAACCCACCCCTAGATTTGTCTTCAATGGGGTTTCTGTGGGAGAGAGAAAGAATAGAAAAGGAAGAGAGTTCTGTATTTGAGAATTGTGAGAGCTTAGGTTAGTCTAATTAGATTAGAGGCTTTATATAGGTTGTTAACTAACATAATTAGACCTCCCTTACCCCCAACTAATTAACTAACCCCTTAATAAATTAATTGAAATCAACTTAAAACGTGCAGCAACTCAAGTCTCAAAGATGACACCCTTACCAACAGTCTGTCTATGAGACAATGGCCACAGGACCCTCCATCCTGTTGGTCCGTCATTTTTGTCAGATACTGGTCCAAAACTAATCTTGATAAAAATTAATAAGTTTTCATGGATGAGTGAATCGACGCCCCATCGATTGACACATGGATCATTAATAACAATTTATGGGTCCCACTGCCTTAGGTAGTACTATTACCTTAAAAGTAAGGGTCCTCCTTAAGGGCCCTTGGTTGGTCGTTGGGGAGTTGTGCCCAGATGTTTCGACTATGAACTAACTCTAAAACGTGTTAGATACCCTTCCACCAAATTTCATCTTTTTCCAACTCCTTAAATCTAGTCAAATAGGCTAAGGCACGCTAACACCTAAATGAACTAATTTCTGCATGTCTTTGACGTTTGGTTTCTAGACTTCCGAAATGACTTATATTCATTAAAAATAAACTTAAAATAGTTTCTACAAATTTTTACACTTAAGTAAATGTCTACAACACGTCTTAGATTTTTGAAGTGTTACAATTTTTTTCCCAAGAACTTAAAGTGGCCAAGGCACGTGAGATCCTAGCACTTAATCAGGAATTCTAAGTATTCATGAATAGAGTTGAAGTTTACCAAACTATCCTGTTATGCTTTGAAGATGGTTGAGGGCATAAGGAGTAGAATGATCTTGTTTGTTACTGGGTAGGGCGGTCTATCAAGCACATGGTTGGGCATTAATTCTTATTAGGGACATGGACATTTTGAGGAAGATGGTCTATGAAGATCAGGTAACGGAGAAGAATATGAGAGATAGAGATGAGTCCTATGAAATGTGATCGAAGATAGGGAATGAGTCCAACCGGTCCTCTTTCCAACTACAATTAAAGGGAGATGATCTATCATCTGCTAATGCACATGACCCTAACAACAAGGGTGAATACTATGGTTTCTAGAGCTAAACATGCCTATTTACAGGGTAGTGCGGTGCAAGAGGGTAGTAACCTCCTGCATATGCCATGTTTGGTAAGAACCACTAATGTATTTGTCCTGAGGCTCCATCGGTTGTTTCAATTGTGGTTACACCTACAATTTCATGCGAGATTGTCCAAAAAATAAATAGGGAAATAGTAATGGGGGCAATAGAGCTCAATCCTCTTTTGTTGCTCTACCAGATAAAGCTTCACCTAGAGGAGTTACTTCTATTTACTAGCAGAGGATAAAACCACCTCTACGTGATAACTAGTCACCAAAACCAAGAAGATTTTCCAGGTATTAACACTAGTATTATTTGAGTCTTTGACTTTACTCTTTTCTTTGACTTTACTCTTTATGCCTTGCGAGATCACAGAGAGAGTTTATCTTTTCTGAATCCATATGTTTTTATAAACTTTGATGTTATTCCTAACCAACTTAGTGAATTGTTCTGTATTTCTACACCTGTTAGTGAGTCTATTCTACAAGAGCGAGTCCATTGTGATTGTTTCATTTTTGTCAACCACAAGAGTACTACGGCTAATTCAATTGAGTTAGACATGGTATATTTTGATTTTATTCTTGGTACTAACTAGCTTCATGATTGTTATGCCTCAATTGATTGTAGAACTCGAGTAGTCAATTTGTTTTCTCCAGATGAGAAAATCATAGAATGGAAAAACACTTCATCAGTAACTATGAGTCACTTCATTTCTTACCTTAAGTAAAGTAAATTAGTTTTGAAGGAGTGTTTCTATCACTTGGTATGAGTTAATGACTTAAGTGTTGAGGTACCTTATATTCAGTAATTTTTAGTAGTGAAAGAGTTACCTAATGTCTTTCAAGATGATCTACCCACAGACCCTCCTGATAGAGAGATAGACTTCGGTATGGATCTTCTTCCAAATACTCGTCATATATCTACTCCGCCATATACATAGGCACCAGAAGAGTTGAAAGAGTAAAACCAAAAGTTGAAGGATCTATTAGATAAAGGCTTTGTTCGACCAAGTAACTCACCTTTGGGCACTTCGGTCTTATTTGTGAGAACTAAGGATGGTTCCTTTAGGATGTTTATAGACTACCCTCATTTGAACAAGGTTACCATGAGCAACAAGTATCTTATTCCTCGAATTGATGATATTTTCGATCAACTTCAGGGTGCTTCCTTTTTCTTGAAAATTGACCTCAAATAAGAATATCATTAGTTAAGTCTAAGGGAATGTGATATTCTAAAGACAACTTTAGAAATGATATGGTTATTATAATTTTTTGGTCAAATCCTTTGGTTTGACTTATGAACCAACAACGTTCATGGCACTTATGAATAGAATGTTCAAACCTTATCTAGATATGTTTCTTATCATATTTATTGATAACATACTAATCTATTAAAGATATGATGAACATCATGCTAGTCATCTCAGAATTGTTCTTCAGACTTTAAAAGATAAAAAGTTGTATGCGAAGTTGTCCAAATGTGACTTTGTATTGAGTATGTGGCGTTCTTGGATCACATAGTTTCTTGAGATGGAATTAGAGTTGATACTCAAATAATAATGTAGTGCAGAATTGACCTAGACCCACCTCTCCAATTGATCTTAGGAGTTTTCTTGGGCTTAGCCTGATAATATAGAAGGTTTGTAGAGGGTTTCTCATCCATTTCCTCCTCTTTGATGAAGTTGACTTAGAAAACGGTAAAGATTCAATGGTCTGAAGCATGTGATTAAATTTTTCATGAATTGAGAAAGAGGTTGACTACTTTCCCAATTTAACTTTACCAGAAGGTACTCAAGGTTTTATGGTGTATGATGATTCATCTTGAAATTTAATGCATGTAAAGAAATAAGAAAATTCTAAGTCAAACTATAGAACATCTAAGTATATCGTAGCTCCAATGAAAGATATGCTTGCTCCAACAACTAAAACATAGAGAGCTAATAAAAAACAAAAGAGGTCTATTGAGCCAGACTAAGTAAGAGAACTAATGAAATTTACAAAAAAAAAAACCTACATCATTAGCAAGAGCATAATTAGTCCGACTAAAAAGCATTAACATACGAGGCTCATGTTTTTTCAAATAAAGATGGTTTTGGAAATTGGTATGAACATTGAAGAAGGTGTATATTTTTTAACTACAAATGATTTCTCTCAAGTGTAGTTTTTAAATTTCATAATCTCTTAATTAAGCTGACCATAAATTTGTGAAATCTACATGAATGCCTACTAATGATTTTTTAAGAAAAGAGAAGTTCAAATTTGAAATCACCTTTTACAATACAAACTAATGCATTGATCTTAAGAGTTAATTAAGACATGTAATGATAACTTTCGACAAAAGTTGATATGGAAGACTAAGATCCCAACAACGATCATATGCTTAAGTTGGAAATCTCTTCATGACGACACACTCAATAACACTTCAAGATAAAAAAAATATATATTACCAAAACAAGTTACATGAGCCAAGAAAACCTTGAGTCCAACAATTATCTATTTTTACGTTGCACCGTTGTAGTTGACTTATAGAGTATGTTTGTGTCTATAAATTTATTAATCCTAATGTAGATGATTGATTCATTAAGGCCACATAATTCAGCCTAGGCATCAACAAGTCCACAGCTCATGCACCAAGAAGTTCACAGTGTAGCAGCAACTGCTTCAAAGAGTTGCAGACGTCACAGAATTAAGCTCTTCTAAATTTGGGCAAAATAGTTGCACATAACATTATGCAGCACAAGATTGCAACTCTATGATACAGGTGTAGTTTATGAAAAAGTCGTAAAAAGCAGGTCATTGATTGAGCATCTATGTAAAAATTTGGACGGGGTAACGTCATACATTTTACAGTTGAAAATTTTAGTTTACAACTTATAATTTGTTTCAGCTTTTCAATTTATTTATAGCTTTGTTTACCAATATGCTGTAGTAATAACTAATAGCTAGTTCTTTTTCCTGCCTGTTATGTAAAGTTTACAAATTTGTTGTTGATACCTAATAGGTAGCTGTCAATCAGCAACAACCTACATTTCTCAGACTCTTTAAAAGAGCCTATGTGTGTGTCGGATCCTTCAGAGATAGTGTATTTTTAGAGAACCCGACATTGGTGCTGCAAAAATTTTGGAGAGTCTGAGCAACATTGGCAACAACTATAGGCCTTTGTCTGATCATAATAGGAGGTGAGTCATCAATGTAAGAAAAAAATGTATAAACACTGCTTATTTACTCTAAAGACTTGATAGGATGAAAATGATAGAGAAAAAGTTACTAACGCAGACTGATCTTATGATGAAGTCTAATGTTACAGTGGAACTTTTTAATTATAAATAACCTAAATCCTTTTAATATGCACAAGACGCTGGTTTTAAAAGATTCAAAACAATGGGCTTCTCGGCATAATTATGAACTAAAGGTACAGTAAAACTTTTAATCACCGGTCTCATAGATCCTTTAGCAGCAATTACCTCATAGTTGAAAATCTTGGCAACACACTAATCACCAAATTCACCCATCTAGTATGGTTGTGTGATGTTAGAAATTTAAGCTTACTGGCACATATTACAGGTTGAAACAACTAAAAAATGCAGAACATGCAATTTTATACGCCAAACAAAATAAATTAGTAAAATAAAGAAATGGAAATATGAAGATCTAGACTACATAATAAAAGAAAGAATAAAAGTGACACTTACCAAAGTTTAGGAGGTTGAACACACTCAAGAGCAAAAATCACACTAGCATGGACCAAAACCTGAACGTGCATAATCAAAATTATCAGTTTGATTAGACAATCATATAATATCATATACTTATATAAAATGGAATCCTAGGCCCGCCTATGTGGCGCAACCACAAATTAGGATTACCTTTTAACTTATTTATTTCCAAAATTAGTGTTTCCTTTCATGAAAAGTTGTGAATATTATTAAAATTTGTGAGTTTTAAAAAAAGTTTCGACTTTCACAAAAAATTGTGACTTTTATGAAGAGTTGCAACTTTTATTAACTTCTAAGTTGATCATATATCCTTAAAATTTGACTCAAGCAAGTAAAACCAAATAAAAATTTTGAGTCTAAAAACCCCTCTATGAGATAATTTTTATCACAAATATTTGTTTTCTACTTAATATAATTTTGTGTGATACAATCATTGTTTAGAGTCAGCACATTCTCAAATTTTCATTCCTTTAAGAAGGACCTTTCAATAAATTTCAATTTTGTTGATATTTATATGCTCATAAACATAGTTTCGTGGGTCCAGTAAAGGCATTATAACCCAAATGTTTCTTTTACAACAATTTGATAAATTAATTTCCACAAATATTAATGTGTATGGACATTATTGTATTTAATGGGCAAATATTTTCATGAAAAACACCCAACATTTTATGTGACTTTCTTTCATAATATAAATCAAAAATAATGTTAAACATAATAAAAGAATGTTACTAAATATAATTTTATCTTTATCAATAATACTAGTCATACCATATACTAGTAAAAGAGAAACTCAATGACCAAAATATTAATATACTCCAAGCGTTTTGTGGGGTTAAACATAATACAAGAATGTTACTAATCTAATTTTATCTTTAACAATATGTTTTTGAAGTTTTTGAAAATAAATTTTGCATATATCTTTCTTCATAGTAACATATTGTAATTGAAAGAATGAATCCCCTTTTGAAGATATTATTTTAGAAAATGATTATAATGCTTTAATTCTCTTCGACAGTTTTTACACAATATCAATATTCATTCCATAGAGGCACCTAACGTACGCACAAAATGATTGACCTCAAGTCACTAGTCCCTCTCGATCTCTTGGTATCACAATTAGATATACCACTTATTATTTAGAATACCAGTAGTAAATTTTTTACAAATTGTTTCCATTTAATAATAAAATTTATATTATTTAAAGGGAATATGGATAAGTACCCCCTCCCCACAAACATGTTCCTGAATTCCTAGATACACACTTATACTATACTAATGTCCCATGAACCCCTGAACTTATTTTATAAATAATGTTCTACCCCTCGGCCTATGTGTCACTAGTTTGGAAAAAAAGTAAACACGCATTGGGCCCACAAGATAGTAAACCATAGGCCGAGAAGGGGTAGAAAATTATTTATAACATAAGTTCAGGAGGGTAATAGATACTTATTATAATAAAAGTGTGTATATGAGATTTTGAGCTTATGTTGAAGGGTACTTGTGTCATCAAATTAGTTTCAAATTCAAACGCAGTAGAAAACCAAAAGTATAACACTCACTTATTAAGTGAAAATTTTCATATTCTTCAAACCAATTGCATATTTTAATTTATACAGAGTTGAAAACTACAAAAGTTTTAGTCTCCTAAAATTAGACACAATCAAATTTTAAAAAGGAGTATAAAACAACAAAAAAAAATTCCTTTTTATTCTCCAAACATAATAAAACATATTCTTAGATTATCACATAGATATGATTTTCTTTTATATAATTCAAACTAGAACATTATGACATAGTATTTTATCTAACCAAAATACGTATATCTCATTCTGCAAACTAAAGAATGATAAAGACAAAACTATTTGCTAAGAAAAAATCATTCAAAAAACATATGGTTCGCAAATCATTTTCAAAGACATATGATATTTATGATCTAAATTTTTAGAAACTATTTTCCTCTTTATATAAAGGGATAATGCACAAGTACCCCCTCAACCTATGCATGAAATCTCACAGACACACTTATACTATTCTAAGGTCTTATTACCCCTCTGAACCTATTTTATTAATAATTTTCTACCCCTTTTCGGCCTATGTGACACTATCTTATGGATCAAACGTTTGTTGACTCTTGCTTTTCAAATTAGTGTCACTTAAGCCGAAAAGGGGTAGAATATTACTTATAAAATAAGTTCGAGGGGTGGGGGAATAGGATCTTAATATAGTATAAGTGTGTCTCTGGATTTTAGGCATAGGTTGAGGGATAATTGTTTATTTTTCCTTATATAAATAGTAAAAATGTAACCTTGTGTAATTATTAACCAGAATACTAATAGTTCTAATGGTACATTATTTACTCAAGGCATAATACATATATTGAATACTAAATTTCACTTCAAATTTTAACTTAAACCTCTAACATTCTTAATGCACAAACAAGCACTTTAACTATCAAAATTTTAAATAAATAAACACATGAGTCCTACATGACAAAATACACTTGGGACACCACGTAAGGAAAAACGAACATGTAGGATTACATTTAGGACTATTTGTTTATTTGTTCAACTTTATAGAAGTTTAAGTATCTAGTCGCACATATCCAAAGTTGAAGTGCATAAATGTGATTCTAAGTCAAGTTAAATGGCATAATTATGCATTATTCCTTAATTCAACCTTACTAAACTGGGAACCAAATTCTAGAAAAATAATGTAGTAATCTTGAAAATCCATGATAAGTTTCCATCAATTAGCAGAATTAAACATATACCAACAGTATATTAATTTCCATAAGATACATAGAGTAAAAACATTGAAGAACATCGTAATAAACAACAAAGATTAAAGAGAATTTTTCAAACTAGAGAATTAAATCAGTAGATAAAATAAAACAAGAAAAAGATTAGAAATAATATATGAAATATTTTTGTCAAAGAAGAAATAGAGCCCTATGAATGGAGTATGTTCATAAAGAAATTACTCCCCTCAAGTACTCGAGGTTAACTGAAAATATTTTTTCATGATAGAACGATCTTACTCATTGATGCATCGATACCTATAACCATATGGTAATAGAATACACACAGAATGCTAAATTATTCAGTAAAAGAAGTCCAAAAATTTGGTGGTTATAAAATTAGAGGAAATCTCTCTATTAATAGAGTACAAATTATAGTATGAATAAATGTTTATAAGGCCTTATCGGAAAGTTCACAATCTTTCAAAAAGTCACAACCTTTCATAATAATCGCAATTTATAATTGAAGTCACAATTCTTCATAAAAGTGGCAACTCTTCACTTTCCATTCGAACCTTTTAAAACCCAACAAATATATTGTTAAGGGGTAGGGGGACTTTGTAGAGACAAAGCACACTATACATTAGTTTATAGAGATAATCCACAAGTACCCCTTCAAACTATGCCCGAAATCTAAGAGACACACTTATAATATACTAATATCCTATTACCCCCTGAACTTATTTTACAAATAATTTTCTACCCCTTTTAGTCCTACGTGACACTATCTTGTGTTCTCAACGTGTGTTGACATTTTTTTAAAACTAGTTCTACGTAGGCCAAAAATGGGTAGAAAATTATTTATAAAATAAGTTCGGGAGGGGGGGGGTAATAGGATATAAATATAGTATAAATTTTATCGCTGATAGTATAGGTAAAGATTGAGGGGATATTTATGAATTTTCCTTTTCTTTATATGTTTTTCTACAATTAAGTCACTTGAATTATTTGTATTTTTTGACTACACGTTGATTGTACTTAATTAATTGAAAATCTCCTGATTAATGATGCCATTAATTTTTGTTGTTCTTGAGAAGATTGTGAGATTAAATTTTAGTTGAGCCACATCACTTCAATGCATTAAGATATTCATGATTAAGTTTTTATATTGAAGGTTAAAATAACAAAACTTTGATGCAATGTAAGTGAATAAATTAATTGGTTAGATAATAAGGTTTATTCAAGTGAAAACATTTATAAAAAATACTATATTTTACAAAAAAAAACATATTTTTTTAAAAAAAGATTGTTTGATTTACTATTTTAGTTCCTACAAATCAAATTATATAAAATAATATTCAATATTTTCCCTCTGAGTTCCTGCCTCCTACACATCAAATTAAATAATTTGAAAAATGTCACTAAAATTTAAATTTATATTTACGTTCTTGATTCTTCTCATAAAATGAAATTAAATAAAATCACAATTTTACCCTCCTATAGTCCTACTCATCAAATTAAATGCGTTAGAAAAT